GGTTTATAGGGTTTATAGGGCTTATCCCTAATCGAATGCTAAGGAACCCGTAAGGGACCCTGATAGGAACCGTGGATCCATAATCGAATGCAAAGGAGCCCTTACAGCAGCCCTTATAGGGACCGTGGGTAACCTGAAAGGAACCCTAAACCCAAAACCCTACACCCGAAAAAGGAACTCTAAACCCCCTAACCCCCCAACCCGAAGCCCTAAAAGGAACCCTATAAGGAACCCTAAAAGGAACCCTAAACCCCTAGACCCGAAGCCCTAAAAGGAAGAAACCCCAAGCCCCTAAACCCGAAGCCCTAAAAGGAACCCTAAGAGTCACTTCCTCAAACTTCCCCCAGCTCCAGGGCCTCTGCCGCAGAAACCCCAAGGTGACCCGAAGCCACGGTCCTTCCACGAAGTTCTAACTTCCGGGTTTCCCCCGTAGGGTTCCTTTTTTGGGGGGTTTAGGGGATTCCGTTAAGGGGTTTAGGTTTCAGGGTTTAGGGGGTTTCTTTAAGGGTTTAGGGTTTAGGGGGGATTCCTGGAAGGGTCTCAGGGAGGGCTCACCTTCACTATCCTGGACCCTCAGAAACATACGTAGTTGGGACTTATACAAGGAAGTCATACTAAGGAACTCTAAACAGATAGGTTCCTTAGGATCCTACTCGGGACTTATATAAGGAAGTCATATTAAAGAATCGGAACCCTCAAAAGATAGGCTCCTTAGGATCTAGGCAGAGGTTTCTTTGAAAGTCTTTCGAGTTCAGCGCTTCGGGGGTTCGGGGGTTTAGGGTGCATTCTTGGGGGTTTTGCGGCTCTATGCGTTTCAGGTTCATGGCTTTAGGGTTTAGGACGGTTTAGGGTTTAGGGGGTTTGAGGGCTTCAGTTTATACCTTCCGGGATTAGGAGGTCAGAACTGGGAACTCGTTTGCAAACCTTCCGTGTGCGTATACTTACAGCAGCAACTGCGGAAAGCGATCCATGGCAACTCTCTCGATCCCGACTTCCCGGTGCTATAACTCCCCTTCCGACAGCGCACTCCTTAAATCTGAAACCACATGCATCGAAACGCTTCCTTTCAAAGTCATGCAGGCTTCCTCGAACTGACGCAAAACCAAAAACTCAGATCGCTTCCGGTCCGAGCATGCTGACGGCGTAGACGTGCCACGAAGGACTGCATGATGGGAAGGGAATCATTCCTGGCATGACACATGCACTCTGTCACTGAGCAGGCCGTACGGTTTCGAGGATTCGCAACAAAGCCGCACCACAAGAGAAGGAAACAAAGGAATCGGAACATACGGGTGCCACAGCCAGGTTTCGAAACCAATCATTCATTATATTAGGGGCCTTAATAATCAGAATAGGGTTTTGGTTTCGAGGTTTACTTTCGAAATTTAGAAGAAGAAGAAACCCCCCAAACAAATCGTGTTGGGCGCCGGTGATCCAAGGATTGATCTCCCTAACATTCAGCCATGTGACTCTCGACCCTACCCTGCAAGTCCACAAAGCTCTCTCTATAAACCCAAGCCCCAAAAAAGCAACCACCGCGTGAAGCCCGAAGTCCTTTAAAACCCCGCAAACCTGTAAGCCCTAGAGCCCTCAACCCCCAAACCCTAAACCCTAATCCCAAAGCCCTGCAGCCCCAAACCCCCTCACCCTAAACCCGGGGTCCTGCCCAGTGAGATGAGCGATGAAAGGCTCAGCGCTGCGTCCCGCGTCCAGTGGAAGTAGTAGGGCTGCGGCGCGCGGTTGTTGCAGCAGACCACCCTGAAGTTTCAGGGTTTAGCGGTTTAGGGATTAGAGTTTAGCGTCTAATGATTTAGGCTTGTGGCTTCTTGCTCAAGACAGGAGGCATTATGCAAAGGAGCCTTGCAATGGTGACTTCAAGCCTTTTGGACAAACATCCTAGGGAAACAACCTTGGGTTTCATTGGAATATACGTAGGCTAGGGGCTAAATAATTGCAAATACTATTCTGGGGCTCCTTAATCGACTTGTAGTATAATATACCCTCAAAACCCTTCTCTAACTATCAAGGCCCCTACACTAACAAGTTTGGGCTCGCCGGAGAAGCATGTGTGGTTTACTGGGGTCGGGTTCATGTTGCTGCGATAGCCGGCAACATCGGGGAGATCAGGAGATCTTTGCACAACACTATTTGGGCATGCATGCGTGCATTGGTATGGCTGAAATCAGGTGAACTGCTACTAGATTCTGCTTACACAGCGATAGCCACATCAATCCATACTTGCTGCCACAGTGACAGGGCTGGCACGTCCCCCGGCGACGCGATGACGGCCCCAGTCCCGTTGATGTTGAGATTGCGCAGGAAGTGCTGGAACAGCTTCTCCTCAATCCGGTGTGGGAAGTCCAGCTTCCAATGCAAAGAATCAAAACTAGTTTTCCCCAAAACCTGAAGCCCTAAACATCACTGAACCTTCGGAGATGTTTAGGGCACTTTGAGAGCGAGGTACATGTTCCAATGGTCGCGGATATCCTTCGCCAGACACCAAACGCCAGGCTTCTCAAATCCAGAACGAAAGCTGAAAACCTAAACCCTAAACCCTAAACCCTAAACCCTAAAGCCTGAAGCCTAAAGCCTAAAGGCCTAAAGGCTCACTCCTGAACCGAGGACGTTTACTCGAATGACTGCGACTCCCAGAGCCCGCAGAATCCTCAAACACATGGGCCTCATTAAGGGTTCAACAGGGTACCACAAGGGTACTATGTTTGTTTAAGGGTTTTTTTGCCGACCCTGAGGAGGAGCCCCAAAACCTGATCCCTGGCTTCGAGGGACCCTGTCTTCATCACCGTAGACTTCATTTTGTTGTTTTGTTTGCTTGTGGGCCTTTTTCCACACTGCTGTTCCGGATTTTTAGTTAGGAGTTTCGGTTGAGGGGTTTAGGTTTGGGTTTAGTGTTCCGGTTGTAGACTCCAGATGCCTCCTCCTCGGCACTGAAGGGTGCTTCATCTCTGGCCCCTGTCATGTCGGAAACATCATGCAACCAACTCTCTCTCTCTCTCTCGTATAAATCCTCGACTCTACTCTATACTTTTTGTGTCCGAAAACGCGACACGCTATACAGTAAACGCTGTATACTATACACTGCATACGATAAATACTACACTCGGAACTCTATACTCTATGCTCTACGCTCTACATGCGGCACACTTTACTATACAATACACTACATTGTACGATATACGACATACTCTTCACTAGACTATACTAGGTACTATATACTACAGACGTACATGCATACTTACATAGACAGCGAGAGAGAGAGAGAGAGAGAGAGAGAGAGAGAAAGAGAGAGAGAGAGAGAGAGATCGCAGGATGAAGCGAACGATGAACACATATAGCACAAGAGAGCGCAAACAAGCCAGAGCAGCAAGAGTTTGGATTACAGGTCTGAGACAAGGTCCGACTATCTACGAGGAGCAAGAGTGTAAGTATAGGTTCGAGCGGCCGACCCTAAACCCTAAACTCTAAACCCTGATAGCGGAGGGCAGGAGGGAAGCCCATACCTGACCAAGATGTTGAAGCCTCTCGGTGCTTCAAGCCGTTGTTCCGTGGCAACGTGCCACAAAGGCTACCCTAAAGGGTACTATGAGGGTTTAGGATTTAGGGGTTTAGGCGTTGTAAGGGTCTTCGACAGGATATGACGGCATGCAAGAGCTTACTATTCCAATTCTCCACGCTTGCCATCATGTACTCCTGGGGAAAATCATTGCAAAAGCACAGAGCTAAGACAAGTCAGACCCTCCCAAATCCCATAACCCCAAATCCTCATTCAACCTGCATGCAATTGTCATGGGTGTTTCAACAATATATATATATATATATATATATATCGACATTGCATCAGTATCGTCACCGAACCGTATCTCCGTCGCAGAAACCTACATCGCCGAAACCGACACTGCATGACACCGCATCAGGGTTCAAGGACGACACAAGCAGCCAGCCACCAGACACCAGCCACCAGCCACGAGTCGCCACATCCGGCCACCCTCGATACCAGCAATATTGTATCGCATAGGATCGCCAACAACCGCAAACCGAGCGAACCTAGGTATTAATATAAGGCCTTAACAATTACCTATACTATTTTGGGGATTCCTTATTTTAGTTGTAGTATAGTATATCCCCAAACCCTATTCTCGCTGGCTCCCAGATTGCAACCCTGATTGTAGTTGACCTGGCAGACAAGGCCTGGGAGGGAGACGAAGCAGCTGCCCACGACATCCACCCAAAGCAGGAAGAGAACTCGTCTCATCTTGGAGGGCGTAGGGGGTTTAGGGTTTAGGGTTTAGAGTGGTCTGAGGAACAGTCTTCGGCGGTACCTGAAGGAACCCAGAGCAAAAAAGTCGACAACAGCCAGATCCTTCCACATCTTCCACATGCAAATCGCCCCATGCAGATTTCGGTGCTGCTGGACCCAGTTGTTGTAGACTTGGTTTGGGGTTTCGGTTTTTGGGTTTAGGGCAGTTTGGGGTTTGGGGCTGTTGCTTGCTGTTGCTTCGAGTTTAGGGCTGCAAATTTGGCGAATCGGAGCTGGGAAAGAAGGATCCAAACCGAGGCCCGCGCAGCGACGCTGCGAGCCATGCGGGCTTCCCGGAATTCACGACGAAGTAATTGTACCAACAGGTTTCAGGTTTCAAGAAACCCACATATATCAGTACATCCTACCTGATCATCCTGCAGCTTTTGGGGTGTTCGGCGGTCTTGGACTTCGCACAAGCCTGGGTTGACGGGGCTTCTGCAGAAAGCAGCATTCTGCTCGTAACATAGCGGCAGCTGACAGGCTGATATCGCGTGATCTGAGCCAGAAATGCCGAGGAGACACTTTCTCAAAGTAGAGCGCACCGAGGTTGCACACAGTCCTTGTGGGGACAAGATAACTCCTGCCTGGTAGATAGGTGTCTGCTTGCCACTCATTCGGGTTGGAAGGCTTGGGACTGTTGCTCGAATTGTTTTGTTGTGCCGTACTGTTCCGTTCAGCACCAGCCGGATAGCCAAAAGATCTGCACTATATAGTGCCTTTGCTAGTGGTTTCCGAAAATAGGGGACCCTAATATAGTACCCTGAATAGGAGGATCCTTATAAAAAGGACCCCAAAATAGGGTACCCTCTATTTTCGGAAACCCCCTGCAGGCTTCAGAATGCCCGGCTTTTCGAATCGTGAGCTGAACGAAGTCGCTTTGGACCTTCGCCTGCTGGCTTTGAGCAGGAGTCGTTCACTCGTCGGCGAGGGATCGCAGATCAGCCCAAACCGAAGCGCTAAAGGCACCAGAAGACCAAGACTAGTAAGTAAGGCAGCTCAGGTAGTAATTCGACAGCTTCCGGCGTTCTCTTGTCGGCAAGCACACCGCTCGGCAAGACTGTGCGATGCCTAAACCCTAAACCCCTAAAATACAACGCCAAACACAAGCCCAAATCACCCGAAATAGACTGGACCCTACCCAGAGGCTCCAATGTAGTTCCTTTTGGGGTTTGTTATGGGTTTTTTGGAAAGGAAATATAGTATACTATCCAAAAAGGAACTACATAGGAGCCCTTGACTAAATCCTAAGCGCACGCATCGAAGACTCTTGGGTCAGCATTGCGACGAGCCAAGCCCAGAAGCCAGCGACACCCTGAAGCCTAAAACCCCAAGCCGCCGAGACCAATACCCTAAACCCCCTAAGCCCTAAACCCTAAACCCTAAACCCTAGACCCCTTAAAGGAACCCCCTGAACCCCTTAAAGGAACCCCCTAAACCCCTTAAAGGAACCCCCTAAACCCCTTAAAGGAACCCCCTAAGCCCCTTAAAGGAACCCCCTAAACCCC